TGTGCATTCAGGGTGGGTGCCACTGCTGAGTCTCACATTCCCCTCCTAATGTTGGAATGTGCATTTGAATCCTCCTCTGCCTGTTTTGTGTAGGGACACAGGTGGCGCTGTGGGTAAAACCTCAGCGCCTAGGACTTGCCGATCACATGGTCGGCGGTTCGAATCCCCGTGGCGGGGTGCGCTCCCGTCGTTCGGTCCCAGCGCCTGCCAACCTAGCAGTTCGAAAGCACCCCCGGGTGCAAGTAGATAAATAGGGACCGCTTACCAGCGGGAAGGTAAATGGCGTTCCGTGTGCTGCGCTGGCTCGCCAGATGCAGCTTGTCACGCTGGCCACGTGACCCGTGACCCGGAAGTGTCTGCGGACAGCGCTGGCTCCCGGCCTCTAGAGTGAGATGAGCGCACAACCCTAGAGTCTGGCAAGACTGGCCCGTACGGGCAGGGGTACCTTTACCTTTTACCTGCCTGTTTTGTAGGACTGTGCTGAAATTTCTCAGAAAAGATTTTTTAAAATAAACTATCTGAGAATTTTCTCTTTAAAGCACCCCCCCTCCCAAATGGAGAAATTCAGGCATTTCCTGAAATAGTATTCAGTGAAATCACCCCAACTCTCTCCCACTCTCCCTCTCTCCCTCACACCCACTTCACTGTTTGCAAATAGGATGGAGAATCTTGGGAGGCCGTGGTGGAAGAGGACATGATGTTGTGACTCAGCTGACGACATCTTCCAGCAGTGGCATTGTGTGGGTTGCCAGTGCTGGAGGCAGTGCAGAGGAATGGGAGGGAGGGAAACAAACAAACAAACAGAGCATGCATGTGTATTCAGCTGCCTAACAGCATAGTCTGGTGAGGTCACTTCCTGGTACGCATGGAGAAGCTGTTTTCAGTGGAGCCCAGCAACTGAAGCATGCAGATGTATTGCGGCAGCACCAAATGTTGAAATTTTGCACCCTTAATAATTTTGCGTCCGGGGCAACCACCCCACACAACACCACTGTGTTCCAGTACAGCATAATATGGATTATTTGCACATTCCAACGGGAGCCATGATATAGTGCCATATTAATGCAGAATGTGCATGCAATACAACCATGTCGATTGGACCAATTGCATTTGTTCCCCCCACCCACTCAGTTCCCTACCTGGAAGAATGGTGTTGTTCAAGCTGGAATGGCTATGGGTCCAGGCACACCCAGGCAATTGCAAAATCATACAGCCTCTCCAGTGGTGGTTGGCTGAAGGGAACGTAAGGCTATCACTTTGGCAGGGTTGTTAAATTTGTATTTCTTTGATTTGGGCTTAATTTGCCCTGAAAAGAGTTTCCTTTTGCACTGAATCTTGTTTAGCTCAACTACTACAACTCTTCAAGAAATTTTGTAGCTGCTTCCGTAAAAGAGAAACCTGCCCCCTTTCTTAAATTCATTGAATATTGATGTACCATAGAACGCATGTTCATTTCTGAGACAATTTATTTTAAACACACCTTTCCTGTTTTTGGTATGTACATTTTAATTCCAATAACTGTGTTTTGCAGCTGCTACAATGATTCAGTGGGTGGGTTTCTTTCAACGCCTTGAAGTATGAAGGCAAGGTAATTGACTGTATTAATCTTGGCATTTGGTTTGCTGCTCCCTGAGCTCCTAACTGTTATAAATGGGAAACACAGCATTGTTTTGCATACAAAATATCCTGTCAATTGGCATATATTGAATTAAATAAACATATATATTAAGTATTTTTGGCACAATCCACCCAACCTTCTTCTACTCAAGTTCCATTGAGATGAATGGCTTAGCTCCTGTGTCCCCCCCCCCCCCGTGAATAGATCGGGCAGGGGCTTCTGCTGGCAGAACAGGGATTGTTTTATCCTCACCAACCACAGTCATCTCTGATACTGTATGGAGGTTCCCCAACCTGATGCGCCAACCCTGTTTAGGGAAGTTTTTAATTTTTGATGTTTTATCATGTTTTTAATATTCTGTTGGGAGCCGCCCATAGTGGCTGGGGTATAATTATACCCCAGATAGGCGGGGTATAAATAAATTATTATTATTATTATTATTATTATTATTATTATTTGGGGTGGTGCAGAGCTGTAAGGGGAAGAGAGAGAATTAGCAGAAATTGTCTTCTCCCCCTTTTGTCAGCAGATGCCTCAGCCTGATTAGAGTCCCTTTGTTGATGAGCAATTCTGCAGCAGGTAACTTGCTGGAGTACAGTAAGGTTGCCAGGATTTACCGGTACTGACATGGAACAATGCATCACATGATATTGAATTGAATTGAGAAAGCAGGTAGGTCCTAAATGAAGGCAACATCCCATTAGTGTATTCCCTCAGCGAAGTGCTTGTAAACCACCATTGTAAAATCTCAGAAAATAATTGGGATTGCAAAACTACTACTCCTCTTCCTCCTCTCATGGCCAGTTATCAGGATCCGTAAACTAGCAGTATGTTTTGTAAGCCTCTTTCTAATGCCCCTGAAAAGTCTAAAGTTTTGGCAAGGCTGCAGATCTATCAATTGGCCCGGGTGGCTGTTTGCATCGGATATGGCCTCTATTATTCTTCCACAAATACAAGCAGCCCAAAAATTATTGGTTATCATTTCTGCAATCTCTTGACACTCATCTGCTTTAATTACATGGTGATCACAGGCGTGGGCTCAATGGGTAATTTGGGACAGGAGGCTGGCACAGAGTTCTACAAGGAGACCGGGAACAGCTGCTGCTATGGATTCATGAGAGATTCGTGCCGATCAGTCACAGCCATTGTCATCAAAAGTTTGCACCTGCACATCATGCCCTTGGCAGTTCGCGATTATAAATACCACAGAGACCCGGGGACAATTAAGGCACTTAAGCATTTTTGTATCAGCACTGGAAGCTTAGGATGTGCGATCTCCAAAACAACTGCTTAGCTATGTCCCTCCTATGCTGTAGTCGCTGTTGTGCAGTTCATTCAGATATTGCTTGTTAAAAGTTGCCTACTGTACAGACAAACTCCTCTCTCTCTCTCTCTCTCTCTCTCTCTCTCTCTCTCTCTCTCATTTAACATCTGTCTCTAAGAAATAGGTCAATAAAGATGGTGGACTGGGAAGGCTGAGCTGTCCACCTCTGATGACCGGTGAAGTCAATGAGGGTTGCGGCTCATAGCCCTTGACTAATAGCTCACTCACACCAGACGTGCCCCTGAACACATGCCATGCTAAGGCGCACCAGTGTCAACATCGCAATGGCAGCCTCATTTGTTCTTATCGCTTATTGCGAGACATGATACTGCTTAAGGGTCAGTTGCTTCCACAAGTCATCTCTGACAAGCCCTCAGTCTGGATAATTGGATGTGGAGCAGAAGCCGAAGGAGGAGGAAGAAAAGGCAAGCGCTGAGGCCAGGAACTCAGGAGAGGCAAGGTTTCAGGACTGCACACCCCGGCATATAGCAGTGGCTGGGGGTGGAGCAAATCACGGAGTTGTAGATGCAACAAAGAGCTGCTATCCAGAAGCCAGAGTTCGTATATCAAGGCCAACAGACGTAGCCTGTTTTGTCCATCTTTCACCCAGGGAATCCAGAAACAGAACCTAAAGGAACAAAAGATTTAGCTAAGGAATGGGCAGCTGCAGCTCCTTCTTTAATCAGGCTGGCCGGTCTGAGCAGAAATGACCCCCTAATGGCTGGTAGAGGGATTTTCACTTCCTTGAAGAATTTGGTAGAAGTGTGCCTTGAAAAACAAAAGGAATGCATCCCCCTCATCTGTTTCTGCAAGAAACAAATGGAAATGTAAACCTGAGGCTACCCGAGTTCCAGTGACAGAGCTGGATCCAATTTCTCAGACATGGGAGCGACTCATCCAGTGCCTTCATCATGCCAGGATTCGAGCTCAACTTGTTTTTCCTCATCCATTTCACCATGGCATCCAAGAAATGGCTCAGGAATTGCATGGCGTCTCCTGATTCAGACGTTGCAGTGAAACAGAACTGAGAATCATCAGCATACTGATGGAATCTTTCTCCAAAATGCCTCATGACCGCTCCCAGTAGAGCACTGGAGATAGCACTGGAGATAAGATAGTCCCCTGTGGCTACCAATAACATAGCTGTTAGGGGTCTGCCAGGCACTTTGCCAATGCTACTCTGACTCGGTCCTGTAGGTAGGACTGGAACCACTGCATTGTGCCTCCAAGTTCCATTCCCCAGAGCCTGTCCAGGAGGATGCCACGGTCGATGATATCAAGTGCCAACAATATATATATATATATATATATATATATATATATATATAATACCGACAGATATCTCTGTCTATCTATATCTGAGGCATTGCAACTGAATATTCTGTAAGGGTATGTGTGTCTTGAAGAATTCTGAAAGCGACATGAGTCTTATTCATGGATTTGGTATCTGTGCATATGGAACAGAACTCTCAAGAATGCAATTAGCTTTCGTCTTAAGGAGCTTTATAAATGTAGAGATAGGTGCACACTGGACTCTCTCCATGATAAAGCAGACCCTGATCAATCTGTTTGAAGTGGAACAGCAGGATCAATCCATTTGTAGCTTAGGGGTTAATTCTATTATCAGTAAGATAGCCAACCAGGAGGGATGGTGCTGGCAGAGGAGTTTCTTAGCAATGACGCAGAGTGGCTCAATGTTTGCTGAGGTTGCATGAGCTGTGGTTGGCTGTGTAGTACTAAGGAAGATTTCCTCTGTATGTTCAGTTGAATCTCTTCCTGCTCTGTACAAGGCCTGAAGTTAAAAAATACAAGAAGTTGCTGTTTTTTCCTCATCAAGTTACATGCTGTTTTGTTCAGTTTCCTCAGGATTTCTTTTCTCTCTGGACTGCATCTGTGTTATTTAAAGTGACGTTGCTAACAGTACATTCATAGATCCTTTGGGGACAGATGTCAAGCATGCATCACTTATGGGGGCACATGTTAAGTGCATCTTCATGCTTTAAGTCTGAACAACTTAAAGGGCTATGAAAACTGTCAGATCTGAAGTATGAAGTAATGGGAAACTTAGCTCAGTTAGTAGAGTATGAGACTCTAAATATCAGGGCTGTGGGTCTGAGTCCCACATTGGGCAAAAGATCCTGCATTGCAGGGGGTTGGACTAGATGACCCTCATGGTCCCTTCCAACTCTACAATTCTATGATTCTATTATTCCTTTTCAATTGCTTTGTCCAGATCTGGCTGAAATTTTCAGGTCTGAAAATGTCATACCAGTTGGATAGAAAACTCCAAAGTCACAAGCATAAAACAATGGACTGGGTCTCCGTTGTAATCGGCAGATCCTTTGTGGCTGAACAGGGCTGAGCTACCGGGGTAGCTCTCACGGTGCTCTCCAAAATTTGCTGGGTGATTGCTTCCATCAGCCTCGGCATGGCCCATGGCCAGGAATGATGGGAGTTGTAGTCCAACAATATCTTTTGGGGGGGGCACCACAGTGGCTACCATTGGTTTTAACAAAGGCTGTTTTTTTTTTCTAAAAAATATTTTTTTTGTCTTTTTCAGCTTCAAAGCACCTATGGATCAAAAGGTTGAGCATCCCACTAGTGATGCTGAGTGAGCCACTGTCTCAGAACTGGAACTAGAGGGGAAGGCAGACTCTCGCCATTCCTTCCATTTGCTCTTCTTGGTTGCAGCACAAGGAATGGAAGAATTCCCTCCACCGACTGTCCCAGATCCTTTGAAAAGTTGTTTATTTTAAAGTTATGTTTTTATTATGACTTCTTTGTATTGGATCAGATTGTTATTGAGTGCTTGATCTTTGCTGTCTATTTTGTTGTTTCTTCAGCTGGTAAACCGCCTTGCATATAGTAAGATAGAAAGGAGGTATACAAATTAAAAGTGAAATGAAATGATTCTATGATCTCTTCACAGTTTCTAACTGGCCTTTAAAAATTCAAGAACTGCTTCTGCAGCCCTTCCTGTGTTGTATCATATCGATTATGGATTTTGAGATTATGGGAGGGATTCTTTTTTCTTTTTAAATTATGTTTTTGTACACTAAAGCCTGCCCTGAGATCTTTTAATGAAGGGTGGGCAAGAAATACAATTAATGTTAATAATAATTTGGGTTCAAATCTCCACTCAGCAATGAAACTCATCGAGTAACCTTGGACCAGCCACTATCTTTCAGGCTAACCTTTCTCACATAGCTACTGTGAAGATAAAAGGGGGTGAAGGACCTTGTACACCATCCTGATCTATCTCATTGGGGGAAAATAACACAGACTAATCATTGTTCATAAGGTATGTAATGCCAGGCATCACGTGGCTGCTTCTGCAGGGCACTGGTAGCTGAAACTTAGCCTGTGTTGTGGTGTGATTACTCTGGATGTAGCTGTGAGAACTGGTTCCACGTGAAAAATGCTGGGGATGAATAAGCTACATGGGTAGAGTCAGTGACTGTACAACATCTGAATAGAAGCCTCCAAAAGTGGCACCGTGCATAGATTATGTCTACTTGGCAAGAGAGGCACACTCATTGAAGTCTGATGCAAAGTAAAAAGGAAACTGGTGGCATAATGGTCCCCATCTCAAGGAACTTGGCACTGAAAACTATAAAAAAGGAAACAAGCGTAGTGAGGGGAAAGAAAACCTCCCTGCTTCAGAGCAAAAAATTCTCCCTGCCAAGGTCAGAGCTGGCAAGTGTGATGGCTCATTTGCTTTGGGTGCTCTCCCATCTACCTCCATAGATGCTCGTGATCACAGCACAGCTAGTTAGTTGCTTTCCAAGCATCTGTGTGGTGTTTTTTTTCCTGGTCTGCCTTTACAAAGGATCATATCATGCAACTCATGTTCATTTAATTTCTCTCTTATTAAAACCAAGTTAGGCAAGTGGCCATTCATCACATTTTACAAGGAAGCTGGCATCTGAGCAGAATGCCCATGTGCCAAGCTTCAGATGTGGAAACACATTTCTCTGCATTCTAATCCCGTCAATATCTTCATTTCAATGGGGAAAACCCAAGTGATCCTTACCCAGGCCATTAGGAAGTGGAATATATTACGTACTTAATGACACTGAAGAAAGGCGCCATAGCACACGGCCTGTAATTATCACAGGCAGCTGCATTGGCAGCTTCCTTGATTTAAATGCTGGGTCAACTACTTGGGGAAAAACACTCCATCTAAAGCTATGAGGGAGAGTGTCAGAACTTGCTGGGGCTCCTTCTGTGTTCGGCTGCCGCATGTGGCAAATTATCAGAACTGCAACTTAGAATATATTCCTGTCAGTGAAATATTCTCAGGCTACTCCAGCTGCTCCCGGGGTGGAATCTACAAAATGTTAGAAACGTTGTGAAAATGCTTTTTTTAAAAATTGTCTTGAAAAATGCAATGAATTTGCTATAGCCCACGGTCACCATCTCTAGTGTCACAATTGTATATTGCACTTTGCAACACATTCAAACATTTTATTTGCAGCTATATACCTGAATCCTGGGTGCTCCTGTATAGAAAGGACTACAAAAGAGCTTCCTGTTTGGGCAGGAGCTTTGCCTGAGGGCAACAATGGTCTCCCCACTCTGATGTGTTTCTAAGCTCTGATGCCCTGGCTCAGCTCCTGGGTCCTGGGTTCACCTCTGGCAGCTGCCAGTAGCTTAGCCTTGACGTACACCCTAGGATGACTTTCTAGTCCTATTACTCAGTCTGTTGCAAAGGTGGATTCTAATGACAGACATGCTGGCCGAGGCTACAGGTGATACTAATACATCTGGTCAATTCGTTTAGAGAACAGAGTATAAAGGAAGAAATGAAAAATTAAGCATTTCTTCTTACAATATCAAAAAATGGCATCAACTTTTTAAATTATGAGCCTAGCGGGGTTGTACAGCAACTTCCAGTGACATCTCACCAGAAGCAGCTGCTGGGGCATAACCCTGACCAGCTCTGCCTGCAGAGGCACTGCCCAGGGATTGTGCTGCCTGAGGTGGCTGCTTCACTCTGCCTCCTGGCCCTGCCTGGTGCCCTGGGGTTCCTGCTTGTGGAGAGGTTTCGAAGCAAGATCGATTGAGGCCACTTAAGAAAACCTCATCTGAGTTTTATGCACCAATCTGAAGAGCCACACAGGACACTGGGAGCAAAGTTTGCTTGTGCCCCTCTCCCACATCCCACGTTTAATAAACCTTTGCATGGACTGGTAAATGCCTGACCGCTATCATTGGGGTTGCCATTATCATCGTTAACGCCAATAACATCATCACCAAATGGTCCATAGCCCAGTCATTCCAGCTAGATTTCAAGATTCTGAAATTCTGTATCACTATCATACTGTTGGCCCCCACACCCCATGTGAAATCAGCTGTAAGTTCTGTTGGTGTGTAGTCACACCAGCAGCAGATCAGGGGTTTTTTATTTTAAAAGGGAAGGCAGATTAGACAGAGATGTATAACCTCCTCATCCACCTGCACCTATGTGTTCTCTGTGTGTGTTTTGAAGGCTGGCAATTAAGTCAGAATGCTCACATTTAGGTTTAGCCCTATATTAAACCCAGCTAACCATTCAAGTCCAGGGAACAAACCCAGTTTAAATAAATGTCTAGGCTGGGCTGTTAATTTCTACCTGTGTGGGGAAATTTTCTGCATGGTACTAGGAATTCAAATGTTTCTCTATCTGTCATATTTAAGACAAGTAGAGCAGTATTTATGAGACAGTTAAAGTGCTATAATAAAAAGATATGTAAAAACATTCATAAAATAATGTAGCCACGGGATACATTCATGTGCGAAGTACCAATTGTGTTCTGCACTAAATTGTTTGAGTTACTTCTAGTTCTTTTATTAAAACCAAGTGCTTTATTTCAGGGGTAGGAAACCTAAGGCCCAGGGGCCAGATGCCGCCCAATCGCCTTCTCAATCCGGCCCGCGGACGGTCTGGGAATCAGCATGGTTTTACATGAGTAGAATGTGTGCTTTTATTTAAAATGCATCTCTGGGTTATTGGTGGGGCATAGGAATTCATTCATTTTCCCCCCTTCAAAATATAGTCCAGCCCATCACATGGTCTGAGGGACGGTGGACTGGCCCACGGCTGAAAAAGGTTGCTGACCCCTGCTTTATTTAATATTTAATCACTGACTAATTTGCTGCAGAAAAGGCAGAGTGTTTGGACTTCATAAACTAAGCCCACAAGGAACTGCTGGGCAAACTTTAGTATACTCCCAGTCAGTGAGATGAGAGTGCTCTTTACGAAGCGTACGTCTCTGTTGTTGATTTTATATGAGAGGCTCTGCTACATATGAATCTGGCTCCCAGGTCCACTGACCATAGAGCTGTTCCTCTGAACAGTTCAGCTGTGGCATAACTTCAGTCCCAGCAGAATCATAAAATTGCTACATTGGAAGGTACCCTAAGGGTCATCTAGTCCAACCCCCTGCAATGCAGGAATCACGGCTAACGAATCCCTGACAGATGGCCATCCAACCTGTGTTTAGCAACCTCCAAGGAAGGAAAGTCTGACTTTCTTCTGAGGGAGTCTGTTCCACTGTCAAACAGCTGTTCCTGTCAGAAAGTTCTTCCTTATGTTTAGTCGGAATCTCCTTTCCTGTAATTTGAATACACTGGTTTGGGTCCTGCCCTCCTGCGCAGGAGAAAACAAGCTTTCTCCATCTTCTGTTGTACCTTCAGGTATTGACGGTAACTATCAAATGTCCTCTCAGTCTTCTCTTCTCCAGGCTAAGCATAATAAGGGATAAACGTCCTAATTTAGCCAGGTCAACCTCTCTAGGGTTGCCATCTCACAGCCCAATAAACATGGCTGGCATAGTTTGCATGTGATCAGAGTAGACCACGGCACATCTGCATGGCTTCCAGCAAGTGCCAGTATCTTCACAAGCAGACACACATTAGGGGCAGTGAGTGAAGGTGCAATCGAGTGAATGCACATTTAACTATTTCCTCACATCAGGAAAGAAAGATTGTAGTCCGATTGTACTTATTGGAGAGTAAGCCCGCTGAACTCAGGGGGATGATGTTATGATTAATTTATTACCACCACCACCACCCAGGTGGATTTCAACCATGTAAAATGCAGCATTAAAAATAGTTTAAAACAACTTAAAATCACAAAAAGAAGATGGACTTGAAAAA